CTTCGAATTTGAACTAAGTTTGGAGAAATAATAAGATGGGTAAAGTTTGGATGAAATCTAAATTTTCTGGAACGGATTTGGTCCAATGAAACATGGGGTCTAGAACGACATTGAGGCACATTTTCACCGTGTTAAAGTGTATACACCCTCATTAGCCATAATGCTGAGGGTATAATTATCCATTATCCAGTAGTGTTGGCGGTTTAGTTGGGATACCATTTGTATTTTGTTTTTGCAAAATAGTCAGGCTGAATCCCAGTTTGTTGTTTTTATAAATTTTTATTTATTAGTGGGGAATGTATGGCATTGTTTGCCGAGGGGTAAGGCATGGAAGACTATAGTTTCGGATCACGCCACTGATCCTTACCAGTTCCCTTAGTTTTTTGTTGGGATATTCTCCCCAGAAGCTATTGCTTCTATACAAAAAGCCTTTCATACTCAAATGTAAACCGCCAACACTACTGAAGTTGTAGACGCAGGCACGGTTAAACTGTTTGGTTTATTGCTGTATACTAGCACACCAACAAAGTCGTTGTGTGCATTTGTCGCGATGTGACAACACACAACAGTGCGAAAGGTGTGGTATTGTTTGTAAATGCCTTGTTAACCTCGAAGTGAGGCTCCAGCGAAATTCTCATGCAGTTTATGTCGTTGGGCAGCAATGTACTTCGCTTTGTTACAAGATACATTTGGGTATGAAAGGCTTTTTGTACAGAAGCAATAGCTTCTGGGGAGAATATCCCAACAAAAAACTAAGGGAACTGATGAGGATCAGTGGCGTGATCCGAAACTATAGTCTTCCCTGCCTTACCCCTCGGCAACTAATAAATTGTTTTTTTTATAAAAACAACAAACTGGGATTCAGCCTGACTATTTTACAAAAATAAAATTATCCATTATAAATAAATTTTAAATAAATTTCTGAAATTTGTATTAAGATTTACATAATCCGTTTATAAAAATGTTTGTATAGGTCCACTTTTTGGTATGTTCCCTATATTTTAATTTCTAGTACCTGTCAGTATATCTATGGTGGAGGGTATCCAAAGTTCGGCCCGGCCGAACTTAACGCTTTTTCACTCATTTTAATATTTATTTGGTTCTTTCCTAAGGCTTGGATTTTGAAATAAATATTTTTAAGGGTCTTTCCTATGGCGTGGATTTGTTAATTAGTTTTTTTTCTGGGAATATTATAAGGCGTGGATTTTTAAATTAGAAATATAAACATATTTAAAAACAATCCACGCCTTGTTTTGAGTTATGCCTGTCTTGCAACAAATGAGCGATATGCAGAATATACCCTAAATGGTGAAGGGTATCATATAGTCGGCCCAGTCCGACTTAACTGTTTTTATATTATATATTTTTTTTTTGCTGTCCCAAATATCCGATTCACTTTCACAAATTTTGAGATGTCTAAATTTTTTCCTTAATGATTTTGTTTTTAAAATGTTCTAATTTTTTTGTACTAATTAACTAATTATTTTTTTTAAGTTTCATACTTTATTATCTTAATTGTTAACACTGATGATGTTGTTGCCTTTAAGAGTGTCTGATAATTTTTGTTTTGATTTTTTTTATTTGTTGTAAAAAATCGTAATTAAATTTGATTAACAACAAAATAGCGTGTGGACGTGTGGTATATACAAATAACCGCTTATTACTGATAATTTCAGTGTAGTTAAAAAATAATCCGGTTTTAGACGCTAAGCTAATATTTCAATTCAATTATTCCAAATGTTATTGAATTTGTTGAGACGAAACGAGTTAATCTACATACTACGCTCTGAAGAATTTTGACAGGCAGGCGGGTATTAAGAAAGCTGAATTATGCATTAGTATAAAAAAAAAACAAAATAATACAATATTAAAAAAAAATATATTACACGTTTTGAAAAAGTATTTAAAAAATCCACGTCTCTTATGAGACTCGAAGAAATATGTTTAAAAAATCCTCGCCTTTTATAGACGCTTAAAAGAAATATATTTAAACCAGTAAGGAAAGTAGTAAAGTCGGACTGGGCCGACTATATGATACCCTTCACCACTGTACCAAATTTCGTGCAAATCCAAGGATATATAGGGTGCACAAAACCTGAACCGATTTTCACGTATCTCAACACTCATCGTTCTAGACTTAATTCTGTGCGCTATGCCAAATTTCGTGCAAATCGAAAGTTATATAGCGACTTGGTGCACCATTTTCATTCATTTTCACCATAAAATCGGACAAAAATATATATGGGAGCTATATCCAAATTTGAACCGATTTTTCTAAAATTTAGCACTTATCATTTTGGACTCAATGCATTATGCTATGCCAAATTTCGTGAAAATCGTAGGATATAAAAGGATTTTAGTGCGCTATATAGCTAAAATCGGAGAAAATATATCTGGGAACTATATCTAAATCTGAACAGATTTTCTCGAAATATAACACACGTATTTCTACACTTAATTCAGTAAGCTATGCCAAATTTATTGCAAATCGACGGATGTATAGGGATTTTGCACCATTTGCATCATTTACATAAAATCGGACCAAAATATATATGGTAGCTATATCGAAATCTAAACCAATCTTCACGAAACTTAACACACATCATTCCAGACCCAATTCATTACGCTGTGCCAAATTTCATGCAAATCGTAAGATATCTAAGGACTTTGGTGCACCATTTACATATCGAAATCTTAACCAATTTTCATGAAATTTAACACACATCGTTCTAGACTTAATTCAGTATGTTTTGCCAAATTTGTATCTATGGTGCACCATTTACATAAAATCGGACGAATATATATATATATATATATATATATATATAAATATATAGGAGCCACCACACTGTGGTACAAGGTATTATGTCTTTGTGCATATGTTTGTAACAGGCAAAAGGAAACGAGATAGACAAATAGTTCCTTTTAAAAAGGAACTATGGGTCACTGGTCACTTCCTGAGTCGAATTATGCATTTCCGTCCGTCCGTCTGTTGGTCTTAAATTGTAAACAAAGTACAGGTCGCATTTATTATCCGATTTGGATGAAATTTGGCACAGCTTGTTTGGCCCAAGGACGAACCCTATTGAAATTGGGAAAAATCAAAAAAAAGTTTCGTTAAAATCGGTTCAGATTTAGGTATAGCTCCCATATATAGTTTCGTCCGATTTCATGTAAATGGTGCACCCAAGTCCCTGTTTATATTTCGATTTTCGCGAGATTTGGCATAAAGTACTGAATAGAGCCTAGAGTGATGTCTGCCAAGTTTCATGAAAATCGGTTCAGATTTAGATATAGCTCCCATATATAGTTTCGTCCGATTTCATGAAATTGGTGCACCAAAGTCCCTATTTATGTTTCGATTTTCATGAAATTTGGCATAACGTACTGAAGTGAGCTTAGAACGATGTCTGTCAAGTTTCGTGAAAATCGGCCCAGATTTAGATATAGCTCCCATATATAGTTTCGTCCGATTTTGTGTAAATGGTGCACCAAAGTCCCTGTTTATATTTCGATTTTCACGAAATTTGGCATAACGTACTGAATTGAGCCTAGAGTGATGTCTGCCAAGTTTCATGGAAATCGGTTCAGATTTAGATATAGCTCCCATATATAGTTTCGTCCGATTTCATGTAATTGGTGCACCAAAGTCCCTATATATCTTTCGATTTTCATGAAATTTGGCATAACGTACTGAATTAAGCCTAGAGTGATGTCTGCCAAGTTTCGCGAAAATCGGTTCAGATTTAGGTATAGCTCCCATATATAGTTTCGTCCGATTTCATGTAAATGGTGCACCAAAGTCCCTATATATCTTTCGATTTTCATGAAATTTGGCATAACGTACTGAATTAAGCCTAGAGTGATGTCTGCCAAGTTTCGTGAAAATCGGCCCAGATTTAGATATAGCTCCCATATATAGTTTCGTCCGATTTCGTGTAAATTGTGCACCAAAGTCCCTATATATCTCTCGATCTGCACAAAATTTTGTATATGAAGTCTAGAACGATGTGTGTTAGGTTTCGTGAAAATCGGTTCAGATTTAGATATAGCTCCCATATATAGTTTCGTCCGATTTAATGTAAATGGTGCACCCAAGTCCCTGTTTATATTTCGATTTTCACGAAATTTGGCATAACGTACTGAACTGAGCCTAGAATGATGTCTGTCAAGTTTCATGGAAATCGGTTCAGATTTAGATACAGCCCCCATATATAGTTTCCTCCGATTTCATGTAATTGGTGCACCAAAGTCCCTGTTTATATTTCGATTTTCACGAAATTTGGCATAACGTACTGAACTGAGCCTAGAATGATGTCTGTCAAGTTTCGTGAAAATCGGCCCAGATTTAGATATATATATATATATATATATATGGAATTTCTAATTTCAGTACGTTTTGTTCCTATCAGCCATATATATATATATATATATATATATATATATATATGTTTATGGATAGACCTAGGTCGTTTCACATTTAGATAAATGTCACATATTTTATTTCATACAATATCCTGATAATAGCCCTGTTTAATATACCCATAGTGATGAAGGGTATCATATAGTCGGCATCGTCCGACTTTACTACTTTCCTTACTGGTTTTTTAATATTTTTTTGAGTGTAAAAACAAATTTCATCTGCCCGAACTTAACGATATGTTGTACTTGTGTTATGAACGACGTTTTGTTTCAATACAAAATCAATAAGGTCATTCATCTGTGTGTTCGATTTTATTTGCCTCGATCTGGTCTTCAATGAACTTGGCATTAAACAGTTAATAAAATACACAGCTCATAAGCATACTGCATCGGATTTTCAAAACTTCGTAGAAAAAATGTATTTTTTGTTTGTTGTTAATGGATTGTTTTTATTCTCCATATTAATTTACTTGAGAACAAAATTCACCTATTGGACCCGTAGAGGTGTTGACCAATTGAAAACGAATTTCTTCTTGGGTCACATTTTGAACTTACACAGCCTGAATCACAAACACTTTATGCAGGAAGTCTATGACAACCACAATGGGAAATCCAAGGTGGTGGGTGCCTACATCTACACCAAACCTGTTGCTGTCATAGTGGATTTGGATCTCGTGAAGGCGGTACTGATAAAGGATTTCCATAATTTTTCCAGCCGCATGACCTACAAAAATGAAAAGGATATTTTGTCCCAACATCTATTCAACATAGAGGGAAAATTGTGGAGGCCACTTCGCATGAAATTCTCACCCACCTTTACATCGCGCAAAATAAAATTTATGTTTCCAACTGTGCGAAATTTTTGCGAAGATTTCGTGCGGAATTTTGAAAATTCCATAGAAAAATCGGATATCGTCAATGTCCATTATATGAATAGCCTCTTCACGGTGGATGCCATTGGCACATGTTTCTTTGGCATAGAGTGTAATAGCCTTCGAAATCCCGATGCGGAATTTCTGAAAATAAGTTCGAGAATTTTTACTCGGAAAAACTTTAATGTCAGGTGGCATCTCTTCAAGTAAACTTATGTGGAACTAATGAAGTTTGTGGGTTTTAAGCGGTTTCCCCAGTTTGTAGAGGATTTCTTTCGAGATGTCGTCTGCGAAGGATTCAAGGCCCGGGAGAGGAAACACATAATACGCAATGACTTCGTGGACATACTAATAGACCTCAAAAAATCCGGGGAGTTAAATTTGTCTTATGATCAAATTGCGGCCCAGTTATTTATATTTTTCACAGCAGGATTTGAGACCTCATCCACTTCGATGAGTTATGCCCTCTTCGAACTGGCCAAATACCCTACGATACAAAATAAATTGAGGCAAGATATTTTGGAGATTATGGAAAGACACAACAATCAGCTTACATATGAGGCCCTAATGGATATGAAGTAAGTCCCTCTCCATACAAACCAAAATATTCCCACAATAAAAAATTGAACCTGCTTACAGAAACCCTACGCATGTATCCACCTCTACCTTTTCTGCAACGGGTCTCCCTCAACGATTACCAGCTGCCCAATACAAATGTAAAAATTGAGAAAAATACTGAAGTATTTATACCAGCCTATGGCATACATTATGATCCGGAAATATACGCCGAGCCAAAAGAATTTCGACCCGAACGTTTCCTTCCCCCGGAAATGGCCAAACGACATCCTCAAGCATTTTTGGGTTTTGGAGATGGACCACGAAATTGTATCGCTCTGCGATTTGGACGGATGATAACAAAATTGGGCCTAATTGCCATTTTAAGGAAATTTAAATTTTCTACCATACCTGGAGCGGCAAGGGAGATGGAATTTTCTAATCACAGTATGGTCTTGGTTCCAAAGGATGGAGTCTATTTAAAAGTGGAGAAAATGAAAACCTAACATTTAGTTAAATAAAAATTATACATTTAAAAAACCAGTAAGTAAAGTAGTAAAGTCGGCCTGGGCTGACTATATGATACCCTTCACCACTTTGGGTATATTCAACAGATGAATCCTAAAAGATGACGCGTTCTTGTTATATATCTATATCTGTACCGATTTCAGGGAAACTTGTCAGAGACTAAATTATATTACTTTAGTACGTTGTGTCAATCGGTCTGGCTTTGGCAACATCATTCTAGACTTAATTCAGTACCCTACCAACTAAAAATTCGTGCAAATCGAAAGATATATAGGGACTTTGGTGCACCAATTACATAAAATCGGTCGAAAATATATATGGGAGCTATGTAAAATCAGAACCGATTTTCACGAAACTTAGCACATGTCATTCTAGCCTTAATTCAGTACGCTATGACAAATTTCGTGCAAATCGGATGATTTTCAGAGACTTTGGTGCACCAATTACGTAAAATCGGATGAAAATATATATGGGAGCTATATCTAAATATGAACCGATTTTCACGAAACTTTGCACACATTATTCTAGACCATATCCATTACGCTGTGCCAAATTTCGTGCAAATCGAAGGATATATAAGGACTTTGGTGCACCATTTACCTTAAATCGGACGAAGATATATATGGGAGCTATATCTAAATCTGAACCGATTTTCACGAAACTTGGCAGACATCATTCTAGACCTTATTCATTACGCTGTGCCAAATTTCGTGTAAATCGACAGATATATAGGGACTTTGGTACACAATTTACCTTAAATCGGACGAAGATATATATGGGAGCTATATCTAAATCTGAACCGATTTTCACGAAACTTGGCACACATCATTCTAGACTTTATTTATTACGCTGTGCCAAATTTCGTACAAATCGAAGGATATATAGGGACTTTGGTGCACCATTTACCTTAAATCGGACGAAGATATATATGGGAGCTTTATCTAAATCTGAACCGATTTTCACGAAACTTCGCACACATCATTCTAGACCTAATTTAGTACGCTGTGCCAAATTTCGTGCAAATCGAAAGATATATAGAGACTTTGGTGCACCATTTACCTTAAATCGGACGAAAATATATATGGGAGCTATATCTAAATCTGAACCGATTGTTCCCAATTTCAATAGGGTTCGAACTTGGGCCAAATAAATGAGCTGTGCCAAATTTCATTCAATTCGGATCATAAATGCGACCTGTACTTTGTTTACAATTTAGCATCTACAGACGGACGGACGGATATGCATAAATCGACTCAGAAGGTGATTCTATGCATATTCTCAAAAGGAACCATGTGTCTATCTCGTTTCCTTTTGCCTGTTACAAACATATGCACAAAGACATAATACCCTGTACCACAGTGTGGTGAAGGGTATAATTAAGCTTCTGAAAGGGGCGTGGATTTATTAAAAATATTGTTTGAAACCTCTATCTGAGGTATGGATTTTTTAAAAATATTTTTAAAAACCTCCATCTGAGGCGAGGAAATATATAATCAAAACTCAAATATAATTTTTCGACGATATTATTTGTACAAGTCATCGATCAAGGAAGCTTATCAGTTCTTTACCCGAGTGTTTCGAGTTCATTTGCAGAGGTTGTTGAATTCGTTTCCAAATACAAATCTGGTTAATAGACCAGCGAAAGTGAGTGATCGACATACATTTCTTGTATGTGGAAATTTTCTGAGAAATGCCAATGACTTTTAGATCGTGTTCAAACACTTGAAAATGTGGAACTTGTTCAGATTAACGGTTTATTGTCGTTGCTAAAAAAAATTGAAATATGGCCCGATATTTCCCAACGTGTACATTTGAATAAAATTCTGCTAGTAGTAAACTGAGTCGCCTATTTTTATTGGAGAGGCTATGCTTACACGTTACGTTTCCAACATGAATGGTGGCTACTTTTTTCTACGTCTCCATCAATCTATTTAAACCGGTTTTATAAATGACCCATCAATACAAATACCATGTTATCGCACCCTATACATATTCTTCCGACCTACCTCAAGAATATATTTGTATAATTTTTGAAAGTGATTATAAAACATTAATATGAAGTCTGTCATTAGTAATCAATAAATTATGTTTAATTTTTTCTCTTATCACCAAGAGAGTGACGGTCAGTACCTACATACTTCGTTATCAGTATTTTATGTTATCATTAAAAACTGTGGTTCGCACTTTATTATTGTTGTTGATAAAATTGATAAGCACACTTTAAAGACTCTTAAATATTTTGACGTAGTTCATACGAACATTAAATCTTTGTGCATATGTTTGTAACAGGCACAAGGAAACGAGAGAGACACATGGTTCCTTTTGAGAATATGCATAGAATCGCTTTCTAAGTCGATTTATACATCGTCCGTCCATTAAATTGTAAACAAAGTACAGGTCGCATTTATGATCCGAATTAGATGAAATTTGGCAAAGCTCATTTGTTTGGCCCAAGGACGAACCCTATTGAAATTGGAAAAAATCGGTTCAGATTTAGATATAGCTGCAATATAAATTTTCGTCCGATTTAAGGTAAATGGTGTACCAAAGTCCCTATATGTCTTTCGATTTGCACGAAATTTGGCACAGTGTAAAGAATAAGGTCAAGAATTATGTGTGCAAAATACTGAATAAAGCCTAGAATGATGTGTGCTAAGTTTCGTGAAAATCGGTTCAGATTTAGATATAGCACTCATATATATTTTTGTACGATTTAGGGTAATTGGTACTCTAAAGTCCCCAAATATATTTCTATTTGCACGAAATTTGACACAACTTTCTGAAATAAGCCTAGAATGATGTGTGTTAAGTTTCGTGAAAATCGGTTCAGATTTAGATATAGCTCCCATATTTATTTTCGTCCGATTTAAGGAAAATGGTGCACCAAAGTCCCTATATATCCTTCGATTTGCACGAAATTTGGCAAAGCGTACTGAATTAGGTCTAGAATGGTGTGTGTCAAGTTTCGTGAAAATCCGTTCAGATTTAGATATAGCTCTCATATATAGTTTTGTCCGATTTAAGGTAACTGGTGCACCAAAGTCCCCAAGTATCTTTCGATTTGCACAAAATTTGGCACAACATTCTGAAATAAGCCTCGTGAAAATCGGTTCAGATTTAGATATCGCTCTCATATATATTTTCGTTCGATTTATGGTAAATGGTGCACGATTTGCACGAAATTTGGCATATCATACTGAATTCGGCCCAGAATGATAATTGCTAACATTCTGAAATAAGCCTAGAATGATGTGTGCTAAGTTTCGTGGAAATCGGTTCGGTTTAGATATAGCTCCCACATATATTTTCGTCCAATTTAAGGTAAATGGTGCACCAAAGTCCCTATATATCCTTCGATTTGCACGAAATTTGGCATAGCGTAATGAGTTGAGTCTAGAATGATGAGTGGTTTGTTTCGGGAAAATCGGTTAAGATTCCGATAAAGCTTACATATATATTTTCGTCCAATTTTATGTAAATGGTGCACGAAAGTCCCTATATATCTTCCATTTACACGAAATTTGGCACAGCGTACTGAATTAGGCCCAGAATGATATGTGCTACGTTTCGGGAAAATCGGTCCAGATTTAGATATAGCTCTCATATATATTTTCGTCCGATTTAAGGTAATTGGTGCACCAAAGTCCCTATATATCCTTCGATTTGCACGAAATTTGGCACAAAGCTCTGAAATAAGCCTAGAATGATGTGTGCTAAATTTCGTGAAAATCGGTTCGGTTTAGAACCGGTTTAAATTTGCACGAAATTTGGTATAGCATACTGAATTAGGCTCAGAGTGATATGTGTTAAGTTTCAGGAAAATCGGTTCAAATTTAGATATAGCTCTCATATATAGTTTTGTCCGATTTTATGTAAATTGTACACCAAAATCCTAATATATCTTTCGACTCGCGCGAAAGTTCGCATAGTATACGGAATTAAAACTATAATGATGTGATTTTTTTCTGATAGGGCCTTCAAAAAATAAAACAAGTGAAAGAGCGTTAAGTTCGGCCGGGCCGAACTTTGGATACCCTCCACCATAGCTATACTAACAGATACATGTAATGAAAATATAGGGAACATAACAAAAAGTGGGCATACCGATAATTCTACAAGTAGGCATGTACCGATATGTAAACCATTATGTACACCAAATACAAAGTTCAGCAATTTTTAATCGGGATTTTTCCTAAAATCTGTAAGAACCAAAAAGTGGACTGATACTGATAACGCATGGTGGAGTATAAAATCCTTAAACTGCTGTAATTTAGATTAAAAAGTTATATGAGGCTATGACTAAAGGGGACCAATATTGATTACATAGGGTTGGAAATAGTGAACATTTGGGGATATCTTATATGAGGGCTGTGCCCTATTAATGACCGGTATATGCCAATTTTGAACCCAATATTTTAATTGTTTATCTCAATTATTTCCGTCAGGAGGTATAACTATATTGAGGAGATGCCTAAATATATGCGATATATTTCATTATCGTCATGTTTGAGTTTTTTTTTTATCACAATATCTATAGAAGGCGGAATGCTTACAACAGATGGCTAAATAGTCTTTGTAGGGTAAAAATTGACTTTTCCCCGCAACGACTACCCAACCGCAACACACGGAACAAATCAAAAATTGACCTATATTTATAATTTTTTGTGGAGAGATTTGCTACCCAATAAGAACTCAAATTACTAAATTACAGCCAATTCGGTGAAAAAATCCCCAAAAACTGGAAATTGGGAGGTACCCTCATATGGGGGCTACCAGAAAAAGTGGACCTATATTTATAATTTTTAGTAAGGAAATTTGGTATCCGATAAGAACCCAATGTACCAAATTTCAGCGATTTCGGTTAAAAAACGCTCTCAAGAACCTCAAAATAACGAAAATTGGGGGGTACCCTTATATGTGAGCTATGCCTAAACGTGGACCGATAAGGCCCATCTTCGCACTTGACCTGCCTACAGAC